TTTTTTTTTTTTTTTTTTTTTTGAGGCAGGCTTTGCAGTTCAGACTGGCCTTGAACTCACAGCCATCCTCCTGCCTCAGGTGCTGGGATTACAGGCGTGCGTCGTTCCCCTGGCCTGGTTATTAATCTCTTGCTGTGCCTGAGTTACAAATCACAATATATCATAGGTGTGTATATGTTGGAAAAACTATCGGTAATATGGGGCATGCGCTAGTGTGTGAGTGGCACAGGTGCCACAGAGCAGGCTGTTATTAAAAGCTCTACAGGTTTCACCATCACTGCACTGGAGGGTCTTGGCACGTGTCCGTCGTGGGCGCATGGGGACTACTGTATAAACGCCACCAAGATGTGCTTTGAGACATTACCTTAGGGCGACTCCTCACCGTGTTATTAACCAGGCAGAGTGTGTTATATGTCTGTAATCCCAGCTACTCAGCAGGCTGAAGTGAGGATCGACAGTCCAAGGCCTGCCTAGTTAAGTGTCTCAAAGTATCGACTGTGAAGCAGCTCGGTGGTGAAGCACTTGCCGCGATCCCAGCGTGGACAGAGCTGCTCACACATCAGTGGGAAGCCCTTCAGCTACCCCTGGGAATCTTCTGGGTCTGTCTGCCTGCGTTACTGCTGAATCTAGCAATTGATACGGTTGACAGCACATGGGTATAGGAGCCGGAGAACCTGGGATCCAACTGTCATTGTACTACTCTGGCCCGTATTCATTTACAAAATAGAGTAATTTGAATTAGGATGTCTGATTTCTCAGCCCTAATTAAAGAGATAAAGTTACGAAGGAAAGATTTCTAATGAAGGCTTTATCCATAGTATGAATACTGCAGTTACAGAAAATCTATTGTACCAAAGACTTGCACTGTTTTCCTTAAGGTGATAGGGAACGGGGTCATTCATGATTTGCTGAATTGAACTTGACAAAGCCAAATGTTTATGATAAAACTTTTCTAGATGTGACCACTAGAGCATATATTCTAGGTTGGAAAATGATGAAAAACTACCTAGAGAAGCTCATTGGGACTATGAGGGGACCCCCTATGTATCTCTGCTGTTTAGGTTTCATTTATCATAATAAATACCCAAGGTCATTCATTAAAAGGTCAACAGATTTGATATCCATGAATATAAAGAGAGACCGGGAAGCTTTGCAAAAATGACTGCGAATGCTAACTATGCAATGAAATACGGCATTTTATCTTTAAAAAAGAAAAACTAGAATTTTAGGATGTAAAATAGAGATTAAAT